ACAGAAATGACAGCATTTCTCTTTTCCATCCCCTCATATTTCCTCTTCCTTTTCTCATTCTATAATGTCTTCCCACACTGGAACCCAAGCTTGTCAGAAAAATCTTTCTGTTGTGCTGAGAAGGGAGCTTGTGCAAAGCTGAGAATTGTCACAGATGCACAAAGGCTCCCCCTGCAGGATGGTGGTTGATTAAGAGCCTCACTTGAACAGCTTGCTCAGTTCTAAAAGGCAAAGCCAAGCAAGATCAGAACAGGTCCCTCAGGAAACACATCCAGGGATCACAAGGGACTTGTACCAAGGCAACAGGCTGAACTTCTGCCTCATTGTAGAGTGTTTATAGGCAACATGTAGGACTGATTTTCCAAAGGTACTGAACACCTACAGACCTACATTGATGGCAGTAGTTCTTGGCACTTCAGAAAACCAGCCCCACTATGTTTTCAGGGCTTGTAGCAGTCTCTAGTGTGCTGGCCACACTAAAATGTCATCTAGAAAGTGGAGTTTGGATCTTCATTACTGATTTATTAGGTCTAGCCAGTTTTATCAGCTGGGTGAGTAGCAAGCTGGAGGTGAGCATGCCCACATTATGCAGCAAATTCCTGGTTCTGCCTGTAGTGCATTGTAACTGATGACTACATTGCTAGGGAAGACCTTTCCAATTGACTTCGGGGAGTGGGGTGACAATTTGCCTCTGGAGCAACTAGAGGCGAGAGAGAAATCAGACAAAAAGAATATTGTCATGTCTCAGATCAACTGTCCTACAACTAAAAACTTTTGTAGAAGGCAGGAACAATGCTCAGAATGGCTTCCCACACACACACAAATCTAAGCAATGACTCCCTCACCACAGTATCCTCTCCTCACGCATGAGAGGCAGGCATATACTATTATCCCCTGAGGGGGAACAAAGGCAAAGAGAGGGTAAGTGAATCCTGAGCCCAGCCCAATACCCTGAACCACAGGCCCAACCTTTCTCTGAGCAGCTGCTGGAATCAGCTGAAGTTGTTGGCACCAAGACAATGCCACCACATTGAGGAAAGTGAAAAGATTTGTGCTAGCCAGCGTTTGAGAGAGTGGAATGTGGAAAGGCGTACATGGCACCTACAGAGAATCTTTAGAGAGACCAACCACAAGACAATTTTCTGAATATAACAATGATGGGAGATAATTATTTTAAAACAGCCGTTGAAGACGGGCATGAGCTTTTTGTTTTTTTTTTTTCAAACATGCCAAACCGCACTAAGGTACATGGTTTGGCTTCAGCATTGTATTTGAAGAATGCTTGGTGACAGTCCGAGTGTGAGGAATACAGGTGGTGACACACCTGCTATAGATTAAACCCCCTGCTCAAAGCAGGACCAATCCCCAATTAAATCATCCCAGCCAAAGCTTTCTTAAGCCTGACCTTAAAAACTTCTAAGGAAGGAGATTCTACCACCTCCCTAGGTAACACATTCCAGTGTTTCACCACCCTCTTAGTGAAAAAGTTTTTCCTAATATCCAACCTAAACCTCCCCCACTGCAACTTGAGACCATTACTCCTCGTCCTGTCATCTTCTACCACTGAGAATAGTCTAGAACCATCCTCTCTGGAACCACCTCTCAGGTAGTTGAAAGCAGCTATCAAATCCCCCCTCATTCTTCTCTTCCATAGACTAAACAATCCCAGTTCCCTCAGCCTCTCCTCATAAGTCATGTGTTCCAGACCCCTAATCATTTTTGTTGCCCTTCGCTGGACTCTCTCCAATTTATCCACATCCTTCTTGTAGTGTGGGGCCCAAAACTGGACACAGTACTCCAGATGAGGCCTCACCAGTGTCGAATAGAGGGGAACGATCACGTCCCTCGATCTGCTGGCTATGCCTCTACTTATACATCCCAAAATGCCATTGGCCTTCTTGGCAACAAGGGCACACTGTTGACTCATATCCAGCTTCTCGTCCACTGTCACCCCTAGGTCCTTTTCCGCAGAACTGCTGCCTAGCCATTCGGTCCCTAGTCTGTAGCGGTGCATTGGATTCTTCCGTCCTAAGTGCAGGACCCTGCACTTATCCTTGTTGAACCTCATCAGATTTCTATTGGCCCAATCCTCCAATTTGTCTAGGTCCCTCTGTATCCTATCCCTGCCCTCCAGCGTATCTACCACTCCTCTCAGTTTAGTATCATCCGCAAATTTGCTGAGAGTGCAATCCACACCATCCTCCAGATCATTTATGAAGATATTGAACAAAAACGGCCCCAGGACTGACCCTTGGGGCCCTCCACTTGATACCGGCTGCCAACTAGACATGGAGCCATTGATCACTACCCGTTGAGACCGACAATCTAGCCAACTTTCTACCCACCTTATAGTGCATTCATCCAGCCCATACTTCTTTAACTTGCTGACAAGAGTACTGTGGGAGACCGTGTCGAAAGCTTTGCTAAAGTCAAGAATCTTAGGATTCTTAGGATAGAGAATTCTTAGGATAGTGTTCCCCATCCTGTAAATATGGCCGACAGCCTTTGTTCCTAGATGTGTATGTTCACATTTAGCCGTATTAAAACACATATTGTTTTCTTGCACGCAGTTTACCAAGCGATCCAAATCACAGAATCTGTGACATGCCCTCTTCATTATTTACCACTCCCCGAATTTTTGTATCATCTGCAAACTTTATTGGTGATGATTTTCCAGGTCACTGATAAAATATTAAATAGTGTAGGGCCAAGAACTGATCCCTGTGGGACACCGCTGGCAACATCCATTTGATGACGAGTTTCCATTTACAATTACATTTTGATACCTAGCAGTTAGTCAGTGTTTAATCCATTTATTGTTTACCATGTTAATTTTATATCATTCTAGTTTTTTAATCAAAATGTCATGCAGTACCAAGGCAAACACCTTAAAGTACTCCAAGTATAGTACCTCAACACTATTACCTTTATCAACCAAATTTGTAATCTAATCAATAAAGATACCAAGTTGATTTGACAGGATCTATTTACTATAAATCCAACCAAAATTGATTTGGATTAAATTACGCTCCTTTAATTCTTTATTAATTGTGTCTTGTATCAGCCATTCCATTATCTTGCCTGGAATCAATGTCAGGCTGACAGACCTGTAATTATCCAGGTCATCCCGTTTATCCTTTTTAAAATTGGCACATTAGCTTTCTTCCAGTCTTCTGGAATTTCTCCATTGCCCCAAGATTTATTGAAAATCGGTGTTAACAGTCCAGTGAGCTCCTCAGCCAGCAATTTTAAAACTCTTCAATGCAAGTTATCTGGACCTGCTGATTTAAAAACGTCTACAAAGAAAGGAACATAAAAATGGCTGCATTAGATCAGACCGATGGTCTATCTAGCCACTATTCTGTCTTTGGACAGTGGACAGTGCCAATGCTACCAACTTCAAGGCATCTGTTTAACATTCTTCAGAGATACTAGTGGAATGGAAAGAGTATTATCACCCCTAGAGGATGAAACTACATCATCTGTTTTTTCGCCAAGTACAGAAGAGAAATATTTATTGATCACTTTTGCCTTTTCTGCCTTATTATTGACAATTCTGCCATTTCCATTGAGTAATGGACCAATATCATTGTCAAGACTCTTTTTGTTCCTAATATATTTAAAAATTCTTTCCCCTTGTATTTATTGAATTTCATCTTGTTGATATCCAGGTCATTTTGTAGAGTTGTGATATGGACAGTTTGGAGGAGAGAGGGGGCAGTCTAGGGATGTGTCCAAGGTGGTGCTTGTGATGGGTTGTCACCCGCAGGGTGCAGTGGCCCCTCTACGACACACAGCTGGGTTGGAGACACAGCCAGCCTCACCGGCCCTGTTATCACCCCACATGAGAGCAGGTGGCGCCACTCACCCAGACTGAGCTACCTGAGTGCAAACAGCAGGGACTAGCCAACTTCCCAGCCCCCCAGGCATGCACCTCCCTCTGGAGTATAAACCCAAAATTATACCGTCTTGCTCTGCACAGGGATCTGTACAATGTAAGCTCATAAATAGTCCCCCCTCCCTCAATGTGTGGAGGAATACGCAACAAGCCTGTGGTACCAAGCTGGATTTTCCCCCGGACACTTCGCTTAAAGGCACACTGGTTTAGATAAAGCAAAAAAAGGTTGATTAACTACAGAAATATAGATTTTAAGTGATTATAAGTGATAGCAAAAAGATCAAAGCAGATTCCCTGGCAAATAAACAAAACCGCAAACTAAGCTTAACATACTCGAAGGATAGAATTTGAATGAACAGTTTCCCACCCTGACTGCTGATACAGGCTCCCCACTAGTTTCCACACCCAGGCTAGAAATCCCTTTAGCCTGGGACCATCAGGGGGGCAAGGTGGGGGATGGGAGAGCCATTATTGGACCCTGGATGGGCGGACGGGGCCTGGCCTGGGGTCCCAAGCACTCCAGGGTGAGGTCACACGGGGCCTGGTGGCAACAGGTCTCTTGCAGCCAATGTGGGACCTGGGGTGGTGGCATGGGTGGGGGGGGGCTCTGTGGCATCCTTGGGGGTCCACGGCTCCGGGGTCAGGTTCAGGGGGGCTGGAACAATGTGTATTGGGGGGTGCCGAGAGCCATTGGACCAAACTGTAAACGCTGACTGAAACTCTCAGGAGCTGTGGCCACGGGGGTGCGATGGGGGGACACGTGTGAGCCTCTAGCACGGGGGGTGAGGGGCCAGGGCCTGGGGCACGCTCCGCTGTGGTGTGGGGGAGGGGCGCCCTCCCATGACTGGGCACCAAGGGCCATTTTCGCGCCGCATTTCAAACCCGGTGGGCGGGGCTTCAGGGCGGGGCGTTTGCGGGGGCCGGGCTTTAGAAGGGGTGTGGCCGTAAGGAGTGAGCGGCAGAGGGCGGGGCAGGGTGAGGGATGACATTAAAGGGGGCGGGGCTGGGAGGGGGAAGGGCGCTGAAGGAGGCGGGGCTGGCGGGAGGCGAAGAGGAGAGGCAAGGCAAGGCAAGGGCGCGCGCGCGAAGCGATGACGCATGCGCAGAGGGTGGTGGTGTGGTCTGGCCGCGCGGGAAGCGGAGGGAGGCGCGAGCGGGACAGCCGCGGTCGGGGTGAGGGGCCCTCTCCCGGCCTGGGCCCTGGGGCCGCGCTTGGGGGCGGCTGCGGACGCTGAGCCCCGCGGAGGCTGCGCGCCGGGTGCCAGCGACCCGCTCAGGGAGAGGAGCCGGCCGCAGCCATGGCGCAGAAGAGGCGCAGTAAGGGGCCGGGCCCCGCCCAGGTACGGAGCGGGCCTTGGGGACACTCCGGGGCTGGCGGGGCACGGCCCGTGCCCGGTGCCTCAGCGCTCCCCTGGCCGGTTTCTGCTTTGACGCGCCTCCCGCCCCGCGCAGGGGGAAGACGCGGCCGCGGACGAGGACTCTGGGCCGACCCAGGGCGCCAGCCAGGTGCAGCGGAGCTTGGAGAGACTCTCGCCGGCTCAAGTGGATCAGAAGGTGGGGGCGGCCTCCGAGACACGGCGGGGCGGGTTGCCAGTTATCCCGGAATTAAAGATTAATTTTGAATGGAAGATTTGTGTCCTAGGATGCAGCCTCCAGGAATACATCAAAACTGGCAACCCTACGTGGGGGGCCTGTTCCTCCCCCCGTGGGAGCCCCCCTCCCTTTGGGTAATGCACCTTGTTCTCCACCTGCAGGTGAGCGAATTGGTGCAATACCTGCTGGTCAAGGATCAGAAGAAAATCCCCATCAAACGGGCAGGTAAGAGGCCTGTTAGATGGTCATGGACTTTGGAGTGGAGGGTCTGCGGCCCCCCTCAAATTACCAGAGGGGCTCCCTGAGGCCGCTTCTATTCCCCACTCAGTCTGAATCCAGATCTCTGAGGCAGCAGAGCCAGGACTCAGCCATTTGGCCACAGTGACTCCCCCTCCCCCCCCTTAAAGCTAGTGATAGGACCCTGGAGTTCTGACTCTCCTCCTCCTCCTCTGCTCTGACCCATTAGACCCCACTCCCCTCCCAGAGCCAGGGATGGAAACCAGGAGTCCTGGCTTCCAGCTGTCCCTGCTCTAACCACTGGACCTGACTCCCCTCACAGAGGTGGGGACAGAACCCAGGAGTCCTCGTTTCACAGTCCCCTTCATATGGGTCACCAATAATGTTTGAAACTTTCAGAGAATCAAATTAGATCCCCATGATGCAGGTTGCGGGATCCCCGGGAGGGGGTATCTGATGAGGAGGGGAATGTAGCTGAAACAGTCATTAAAAATTTGCAACTCCAGACCAGTGGTTCTGCTACTGGCCCTGCTGGGTTAGAGGGTTACCACTGCATGGGCCCTGTCTTGCCAGCAGGGGGTTCTAGGAGCAATGGGAATAGCTGTAACATGTTTCCCTCTCTTCCCCTGTGTAGATATCCTGAAGAATGTCATCAAAGACTACAAAAGCGTCTATTCTGAGATCATTAAGAGAGCCGGCAGGAACCTCCAGCAGGTCACCACGCTGTGGGGAGCGGAACGGGGGGGGCTCGGCTGAGGACACTCTCCCCTGGGAGGCTCAGCAGAGGTTGCTCTCCCTTGCCAATCAGTGCTGGGCACTAGGGGTGCTGTGCTGCGGGGGCTTGGCAGGGGGCACTCTCCCCTGCCAGTCGGTGCTGGGCGCTAGGGGGCACCGTGTTGCATGAGGGACTATCTTTCAGCTGAGTGATCCTTACAAATCTTTTAAAGCTGTTGTTTGCCTTGGGCTTTGTCTGCACTATGACTTTTGTCGGTCAGGGGTGTGAAAAAATACACCCCTGACCGACCTAAGTTTCACTCCCACCAGCATAGAGTGGCTACAGAGGATACAGGCTACATGCTGGCAAAGAGCAGCTGCATTATGTCCGTAGTGTAGACATAGCCTTAATGTTCTGGGTCGATATTATCTTGGCTACTTGCAGCCCTTTCCTCTTGCCACTCACCTCCCAGTGTCAGGGATAGAACTCATCATGCCCTGCTCTAACTACAAGACCCCACTCCCCATCCCCTGCCTCTGAAATTAACCTCACCTTCCCCCCCGCCAGGTTTTTGGGATGCAGCTGGTGGAGATAGATGCCAAGAATCACATCTACATCCTGGTCAGCAACCTGCCACGCCTGGAAGGGGAGAACTTGAAACAGTAAGAGAGGGAGGGGACTGGCTGGCTGGGGTGGGGGCAGCATGACAGAGGCTTCCAAGCCTTTTAAGAGCTAATCCTTGTCATTAGGGTCCACCCACCCACCAAACCCCACCCTACATAAAACTGCCATGGCTGATCCCTGCATGCCCCCATCCTGGCATTGTGTTCCTCTGCCCCCTAGTGACCAGAAGGCTGCCTTGCAGTGTCCATGTGGCTGAAGGTCTGCTGGGAGGTCTATCGGCTGTCCTTGGCTCTAGTGGGTAGAGTGGGGGAGGCTGGGAGCCAGGATGCCAGGGTTCTTTTTCCAGCTCTGGAAGGTTTGAGAGGGATCTTTGTTCTGCCATTAAACCCTCTACTTCCTTGTCCAGTTCCCAGTCCTCCGCAGAGTTCCCTGGGTGAGTGACACCCCTCTTGTGTGTGTTGCAGGGATGATTGCACAGCAAAGCTGGGCCTCCTCACTGTCATCCTCAGCTTCCTCTTCATGAAGGGCAATGCTGCCAAAGAATGTAAGCCCTGCCCCTTCCCTGTGGGCCTTGCCCCTTCCCTGTAGGCTCTGCCTCCTGACTGACATTCTTGTTTTGCCCTTTCAGCTGCTGTGTGGGAGATGTTGAGGAGACTGCGAGTTGACCCTGGGTATGTGCGGGGTCTGGGATACCAGGGGTTCATGCTGTCCCCTGCCAGCTGCAGGCTCCTCCCTCTCTGGGCACCAGCTAATCAATGAAGGGGCTTGCAGAGTGGGGGTGGAGCAGCGCGGGCCTGTGCCCTGAGGCCATGCCCTTTTAACACGTTCCTATCCACAACCCCTCCAGAGTGAGACACGAGGTTTTTGCGGATGTCAAGAAGTTGGTGACTGAGGAATTTGTCCGCCAAAAGTAAGTTTGGGCTTGTCAGGATGCCTCAGTTCCAAGTCTGGGAGGGGTTGGGAGTGGGGTCTAATGCTTAGAGCAGGATGGGCTGGGAGCCAGGACTCCTGGGTTCTGTGCCTGGCTCTGGGAGGGGAGTGAGGTCTGTGATGGGATCGCTGGGGTGCAGCCTGGGGACTGTGGGACTGCTGTGCCTCCTTAACTCTCCAGCCTGGGCTATTGTGTCTCAATGTTTTGCTAGTGACAAGCCGCAACCCCCTCCAGGCGCTGTGACCACTCAGCACAACCACATGTGGAGCCCCCCACCCAGCTAGATTGCATGAATGGTCCTAGAGCCACTCCTGGATCTCACAGAGAAAGGCACCAGAGTCAAATCCCCCCCCAAGTCTTGTACCTCAGGAATATACCAATTTATTAATTGGTTCACCACTTCATGAATGGAAAGTGGATATACACCAGCTTTTGCAAACCTGAGCAGATTTACAACACGCTTCAGGCAAACTCACTGGTAAAGATAAACAGTAAAAGAAGTTTATTGAACACAAAAAGATAAATTTTAAGTGATAGGCAAAAAGTCAGTTAGTTACCAAAAGATAATATAAACACTCGGTCTAAACTCTCAACTCTGTTAGACTGGGCAACATCTAGGTAAAGCAGTTTTTCTCACCCCACTGGATATTGCAGTCCTTAATATACAGGTTTGTCCTTTAAACCTGAGCCAGCCGCCTCTGTTGGAGTCTTCTGAATGTCTTTGTTGCTTGCAGAATAGGTGGGATCAGGAGAAAGGCCCAGCATGTGGCTGTGGTGTTCTGTTTTATACTCTTAGTCCATATGCTTGGAGAACACAAGTCCAGACATGTCTGGTGGGCATTGCTGATTCACAAGGTGAAGCAGTACCGCAGTGTGTCTCAGTAAGTCATTGAATTGTAATTCCCTTGGTGGACAATGGCTGTTAATAGTTGTTTGACAGCCTCCCGGGCGTTGGTTGCTTTCCTTGGCATTGTCTCTGGAGAGCTAGTATCTGGTCGCTTCCTCTCAGCATATTTTAGTGACAACCATACAACACAGTAATGCATATGAAGTTAAGAAAAATCATATACATATTTAGATCAGTGACATTCAGATGATCGAAACCTTTCCCCAATACCTCACATGGCCTGTTTTATATGTAATATCACAATTACATAAATATTCCCCATTCATTCTTTTTTAATGTATATTAAAAATATATATATTTTAATATAAATTAAAAAAGAATGAATGGGGAATATATGTCACATTTATAATATAAAAAAGTCACATGGTCTAGTGGGATAGGGGAGGTGAAGAGCTAGCGCTCAGCCCCCTGCTCTAACCAGTAGGCCCCACTCCCCTCCCAGAGCCAGGCACAGAACCCAGGAGTCTTTCTGTCACTCATCGTCCTTGCACATTAGTGGATTTGGGTCTTGTCCGGGGTGCCGCAGTGGCCCAGCAGGTTGGATGGCTGCTCTCTCTGCGAGCCTGGGGGCAGGCAGTTCAAATCCCACGTGGGCGGCGTGCACAGAGCAGCCATGGCGGAGCCCATAGCCTTGCTGTTTATACCACGCCGCAGATTATCTTGTTGCCCCCTCATTCAGTCAGCCGGGAGGCTGGTTCCCTGTGCCGGAGGGCATCGGACACGCACACAGGCTGGGCTAGCCCTTTGCCCTTCTCTGTGGGCTGGGGAGATCCAGCAACCCATTTTCTCTTAGGCAACAGGAAGGAGGACTGGCCTCAGGGGCTTTGGAGAATGGAGGGCCCCAAGGCCTTTGTGAAGGGGAGGGGCATGGAGTTGCAGTCGGGGGTGGAGCCTACACCCAAAGGGGCTGTGAGCACAGGAGTAACAGGCCAGCTAGAGCCCAGGTGTCCTGAGCCTACTGCTCTACCTATTTGGCCATGCTGGGAGCAGGTTATTGGGGTCATATAGCTGTTCTTCAGGAGGAAGTGGGCTGGGAGGTGGGGGGGGGGGAGAAGCAGGGATTGATGTGGGCTCAATGACAGTAGAGGGGGGTGGTGATTTGACGGGTTGGGGAAGGGGTCATGGTTGCTGATTGCTATGCCCTTCCCCCATCAGGTACCTGGAATACAACCGCATACCCCACACAGATCCACCCGAGTTTGAGTTCCAGTGGGGGGCACGGGCTGCCAGGGAGACCTCCAAGATGCAGATCCTGCGCTTTGTCGCCAAGGTACCTGCCTGCTGGGACTTAAGGAAGGGGAGGGCTCGGATTTAGGGGGAGCAGTGCTTGAGCCCCCAAGGGGACTAAGGCTTGGGTGCCTGGAGGTTGAGGGGTCACTAATAGGGGACTGTGGAGAAGTGAAGACTAAAACCCTAGGGGGCAGGTCTTGGGGAAATGGGGGAACAGTCTCCAGGCAACCAAGGGGACTGAGGTTTGGGGGTATCTCAGGGTCCCTGGGCAGGGGAGTCCTTCACAGGGGCAGTAGACATATGCTCCCTAAGGGCTGTTGCTGCCCATGCAGGCCCCAGGGGAGATCACAGCCCAGCTCTCTCAATCCCCTCTTCCTATCTCTTTTCATCAGATCCAGAGCAAGGATCCCAAGGCCTGGAGCACCCAGTACAATGAGGCGGCAGCTGAGGAGGCAGCTGTGGGTGGCCTGTCCCAAGATACTAGCACCCCTGAAGATACTGGTGGGGCCAGCCAGGGGGCACGGAGGAGGAACTGGTGAATCTTATCCACTTCATCCACAGGTGGTCTGCCCAATGGTGCCTTGTGAACCAGCAGACCCTAGGAGCAGGGGAGCTGTGGCCTCTGTCCATGCTGAGCCTAGCATCAAGCACCCAAGGGTCCACTGTGGCAGCTGCCTCTGCCCTCCTGATCTCAGCCCACCTGCCTCATTTAGGCATGGCCTATGGACAAATGGGTTGTACAGTGCAGTTTGATTGTTGTATATTGATTAGCTCAGCTGCAGAGACCCCTCCTCACCATTCGGGAGAGGGGCATGGTCAGCTTGTGGGAACCCCTCCCTTCTGAGTTGCCATGGAGTGGGTTTCCTCCACACACACAAGCTGGGTCAGAGCTGGGCACTGACATGACCTCTGACCCTTGTGATCCACCCATGACGCTTTCAAATAAAGTCCCCTTAGGGCAGTATGCAATTCTCTGCAGTGGGATTTTAACTACAGGGGATGAGTTTCTGGAGGCCAAAAGCACACTAAGCTCTTGCCTGCTGCCCATGTGAAAGGGTGCTTGTTTGTGGGAGGGGGCCTAGATGAGTGTCCCCAGGAAGAAGCTCCAGGCACACCTCCAGACACACCTTGTAAGAGGGTTGGAGTACAGCAAACAGTGTGCTGTAGCAGCCCCCCTAAGCAGTGCTGGTTCTGGTGGCAGATGATGGTCCTGGGTATGTTACCTGACAGCCAGGGCTGTGTCTGCAGCTGCTGCATTCCTCCCTGCATGCAGCTCCCCCCAGTGACAATCATGTTGCCTTGCTGTGCAGTTACACTTGGGACAGCTCTCCCTGTGTCGCTGAGTGATCACCTCAGGCAGCGTTGTGTACGCTCAGGACGTATCACCCCCTTGCCAAGTGATCAGCTCAGGCTCTCTGCAGACCTAGGCAGCATCACTCATGCTCAGGGCAGCTCCCCCCCTCACTGAACGATTGGCTCAGGCTTGCTGCAGGCTAGAAACTGAAAGGTAAACTCATGCAGCAATCTGACTTCAGGAGCCAGGGCTTGAGGCCCCAGTCTAGCTTCACAATCCCTGTGAGGAGAACAGCACTGACCCTGCAGCCACAGTGAAGGAGAGAGCCTGCTTTAAAGGGCATATGCTTCTTTGACATTCTGCAACAAGACCCAGGAGGCACAGGGTTACACCCACCTCATTGGCCAGAGCTGTGCCCAATCCCATGGCTTTGAGGGGGGTGTCCCTTTTGTGCCTCAGTTTCCTCTCCCCACCTAGCAGACCATGTTTTCTAGGGTAGGGACTGTCTTTCATTAGGGCTGTGTGACACCAAGCATGCCAGGAGTCCTGGTCTCAGGCATGGGGTGTCTGATGGCCCCTTGATTTCAGGTGGGGTGTCAGGTGCACCCCCAGTTTATAATCTAGGGTTCCCATGGATGTTAATGGGGTTAGCACAGATGCCACACAAAGTTTTATGGCAGTGCAGTGAGGGTGTTTAACTGCTGGCAGGAAGGAGCATAGCTTGGATAAGCAGGGGTTGGGGGGTGGGGGGGAAATGTCTTTACCTGCACCCCAAGCTGTGAGGAAGGTGCCAGGCCAAGATCTAAGTGGGGCCATTTGGTGGACTCCTGGATAGCCAGAGGGTAAATCCGGTAGCAAGATCGTTTGAAAGACAAAGAACCATCATTGAACTGGGAGGTTTGGTCCTAACTGGATGGACTGCTGAAAGTTTGGGGGTGAGAGATACCTTTGTCTTTCAAATCCTATTTAGCTTGGTAACACTTTTGTAACCAGTTCACTTATTACTTGTCACTTAACAGCTATTGTTCTCTGGTTAATAAACTTGTTTTAGTGGTTTCATTAAACCAGTGTGATTTGACTGAAGTCTTTGAGGATTTCTTCTCAGATTAATGAAGGCTGGGGCATGTTACCCTTTGATGGACTCAAGTCAGCGGCACTGCTATGGGTACCTGCATGGCCCCACAGTATGCCAACATTTTTATGGCTGACTTAGAACAACGCTTCCTCAGCTCTCGTCCCCTAATGCCCCTACTCTGCTTGCGCTACATTGATGACATCATCATCTGGACCCATGGAAAAGAAGCCCTTGAGAAATTCCACCATGATTTCAACAACTTCCATCCCACCATCAACCTCAGCCTGGTCCAGTCCACACAAGAGATCCACTTCCTGGACACTGCAGTGCTAATAAGCGATGGTCACATAAACACCACCCTATACCGGAAACCTACTGACGGCTATACTTACCTATACTATAGGTACTATATACTATACCTATACTGACGGCTATACTTACCTCCAGCTTTCATCGAGACCACATCACACGATCCATTGTCTACAGCCAAGCTCTACGATACAACCGCATTTCCTCCAATCCCTCAGACAGACAAATACCTACAGGATCTCTATCAAGCATTCTTATAACTACAATACCCACCTGCTGAAGGGAAGAAACAGATTGAAGAGCCAGAAGAGTACCCAGAAGTCACCTACTCCAGGACAGGCCCAACAAAGAAAGTAACAGAACGCCACTAGCTATCACCTTCAGCCCCCAACTAAAACCTCTTTAGTGCATCATCAAGGATCTATAACCTATTCTGAAGGACAGTCCCTCACTGAGTAAAGTTACATGAATGCTTTCCCTGGCATTCCTGAACAGATACAGAACCCATCTCGTAGCCCTCAGCCCCAGCTTTGCAACTCAGAAATGCACATCTTATGCTGCTCAGGACACACTCACTCACTCACTCACTCATTAAAAGTCTAAAAAAACCAAAGAGCACTTGCGGCACCTTATAGACTAACAGACCTATTGGAGCATAAGCTTTTGTGGGCTATGAGGTGGGTTCTGTATCTGTTCAGGAATGCCAGGGAAAGCATTCATGTAACTTTGCTGAGTGTGTCTGCACATGCTAATGGCTATGTGAGCAGAGCTTGGAGAGGCTGGGCTCACTTCATCAGGGGAAGTTTGAGTCACAAGACTTGAGGTCCCCAGCTCCAGACTGAGTCACCCAGACACTGGACTATGACTAAGGCTACATTTTAGTGACGGCTGTTTTTAGTAAAAAGTCACGGACAGGTCATGTGCAGTAAAAAATTCACAGCCTGTGACCTGTCCATAACTTGTACTATATACCCCTGACTAACTCTTGGGTACGGGGGGGGGAGGGGGGCAGCGGGACTGTGCTGTGGGTGCTCAGGGGGGAGGGTGGCTGTGGAGCCCATGGGCTGCCCGCCACCCCTCCCCCCCAGAGCTGGGACTGGCGCAGGCTCCCTACCTGACTCCGTGGAGCCCCCACCGCCTCCCTTACCTCAGCCCTCTCCTACACCCAAACTCCTCCTGCTGCTGGGGGGAGGGGCATGGTTGTCCGAGACTGCCCCAGCAATGGCAGGTGCAGTTGGCTTGGGGGCCACCCAGCTGCAGAAGTCATGGAGGTCCTAGAAAGTCACAGACTGAGCAAACTATTTTCTATTCACTTAATACTTTATTTGCTTGAAATTCCTAATTTCAAAATAAATGAAGGTATTGTTTTCTTTTACTAGGTAAACATATGGGCTGTCAATTAATCACAGTTAACTCGTGATTTAACAAAAAAATTGTGATTAATCGCACTGTTACATTTCAATTGGTATCCGATTGTTTATTAAATATTTTGGATGTTTTTCTACATTTTTCAAATATATTGCTTTCAATTACAACACAGTACAAAGTGTACAGTGTTCACTTCATATTTTTTATTACAAATATTTGCACTGTAAAATCATGAAAGAAATAGTATTTTTCAGATCATCACATACAAGTACCGTAGTGCAATCTCTTTATCATGAAAATGCAACTTATAAATGTAGATTTATTTATTTTTTGGTTAGGTAACTGCACTCAAAAACAAAACAATGCAAAACTGTAGGGCCTACAAGTCCACTCAGTCCTACTTCTTGTTCAGCTAATTGCTAAGGCAAACAAGTTTTACATTTACAGGCGATAATGTTGCCTACTTCTTATTTACAATGTCATCAGATAGTGATGCATGGGACTTTGGTAGCCAGCATGGCAAAGTATTTACGTGCCAGATATGCTAAACATTCGTGTGCCCCTTCATGCTTCAGCAACCATTCCAAAGGACATGCTTCCATGCTGATGACACTCGTTACAAAAAAATGCATTAATTAAATTTGGGACTGAACTCCTTGGTGGATAATTGCATGTCTCTGGCTCTGTTTTACCCGCATTCTGCCATACGTTTCATGTTATAGCAGTCTTGGATGATGACTCAGCACCCATTGTTCATTTTAAAAACACTCACTGAAGATCCGACGAAATGCAAAGAAGGTGCCAATGTGAAATTTTTAAAGATAGCTACAGCACTCGACCCAAGGTTTAAGAATCTGAAGTGCCTTCCAAAATCTGAGCGGGACGAGGTGTGAAGCATGCTTTCAGATGTCTTAAAAGAGCAACACTCTGAAGCGGAAACTATGGAACCTGAACCATCAAAAAAGAAAATCAACCTTCTGCTGGTGTCATCTGACTCAGATGATGAAAATTAACGTGTCAGTTTGCACTGCTTTGGATTGTTACCAAGCAGAACCTATCATCAGAATGGACACATGTTGTCTGGAATGGTGGATAAAGCATGGAGGGACATATGAATCTTTAGCACATCTGGCACGTAAATATCTTGTGACGCTGGCTGCAACAGTGCCATGTGAATGCCTGTTCTCGCTTTCTGGTGATGTTGTGAAGCAGGCAGCATTATCTCCTGCAAATGTAAAGAAACTTTTGTCTGAGCGATTGGCTGAACAAGAAATAGGACTGAGTGGACTTGTAGGCTTTAAAGTTTTACAATGTTCTATTTTTGAATGCAGTTATTTTTTGTAACAATTCTACATTTGTTAGTTCAACTTTCATGATAGAGATTGTATTAGTATTTGTACAGTAACTCCTCACGTAATGTTGTAGTTATGTGCTTGAAAAATGCTACTTAAGTGAAACTATGTTAAGCAAAGCTAATTTCCCCATAAGAATTAATGGGAGGGGGGTTAGGTTCTAGAGAAATTTTTTTTGCCAGACAAAAGACTATTTTTCACACGTATGTGTACACACACACACGTATAAGTTTTAAACAAACAATTTAATACTGTATGCAGTGTGACGTTGCAAGGCCAGCTGGCTATAGAAAAGTAGTGGGAGATAGATATATTAGCTCCAGGCTAAACAAATCTCTGGTACCAGGATAAGTGAAACGGCTCAGTAGACTGTGACCCTTGTCTCTAGAGAGAGAAGGGTTACGGGGAGGGTCACAGTGAGCCTCTGAGGCTAGTGAAATCCGCCAGGAAATGCGGGACCCATGGAGGCAAGGACAGAGTTTTGTCACAGCAGCAAAATGGAGGTGGGGGGACCACATAGCAGAGAACGAGAGTCACACACGGTGTGTGAGCGAGAGGAGGGAGGGAGAGATGCGCATTGCCCCTTTAAGTACGCTGACCTCGCTCTAAGTCCATTGCCTTTAAGTACATCAGCAAGTTGAGACAGCAGTTGCTGCCAGCAAGTTCCCTCCATCCTGAGCCCTGTTGTGTCCCCTCCACTGCTCTGTGGAGATGGGGTAAAGGAGCAGTGGGGAGGAGGGGGACACCCTGACACTAGCACCCCTCTTCCCCCCCAAACCCCTCCAAGCAAGCAGGAGGCTCCCGGGAGCAGCTCCAAGGCAGAGGGCAGGAGCAGCACATGGCAGTGGGGGGAGGGACACCTGAACTGCCTGGCCATTGCCAGCCTACTGGGTGGCTGCTGCACAGGGAACTTTACAGGAGCTGACAGGGGGGCTGCTGGCCCACCCTGGTTCCAGGCGCCCACCAGCTCCAAGGGGCTGCTCTTCCTGCAAGCAGCGGACAAAGCAGGTGGCTGCCAAACAATGTTGTAAGGGAGCATTGTGCAACTTTAAACGAGCACGTTCTCTAATTGATCAACAACGTTAACCAGGATGACATTAAGGGAGGAGTAACTGTATTAGGTGAATTGAAAAATGTTATTTCTTTGGGTTTTTAGAGTGCAAATATTTGTAATTGAAAATAACAATAAAGTGAGCACTGTGCACTCTGTATTCAGTTTCAGAGTAACAGCCGTGTTAGTCTGTCTTCGCAGAAAGAAAAGGAGGACTTGTGGCACCTTAGAGACTAACCAATTTATTTGAGCATGAGCTTTCGTGAGCTACAGCTCACTTCATCGGATGCATGCCGTGGAAACTGCAGAAGACATTATATACACAGGGACCATGAAACAATACCTCCTCCCACCCCACTCTCCTGCTGGTAATAGCTTATCTAAAGTGATCACTCTCCTTACAATGTGTATGATAATCAAGTTGGGCCATTTCCAGCACAAATCCAGGTTTTCTCACCCCCCCCCCCAAACTCAGTCTCCTGCTGGTAATAGCCCATGTCACTTTAGATAAGCTATTACCAGCAGGAGAGTGGGGTGGGAGGAGGTATTGTTTCATGGTCTCTGTGTATATAATGTCTTCTGCAGTTTCCACAGTATGCATCCGATGAAGTGAGCTGTAGCTCACGAAAGCTCATGCTCAAATAAATTGGTTAGTCTCTAAGGTGCTACAAGTCCTCCTTTTCTTTCTGTATTCTGTGTTGTAAGTGAAATCAGTATATTTGAAAATATAGAAAACATACAAAAATATTTAAATAAATGGTATTCTATTGTGGGTTAATCGTGCAATTAATTAATCATGATGAATTTTTTTAATTGCTTGACAGCCCTACTTCCCACTAGTAAATATTATTACACTTGGTTATTTTTCATCATCTTAATTATTGTATGTCCTTTTGTCAGCTCTGTCCA